TTTTTTTTTTTTTTAAAACTTTTAAACTTCTCGCCGGTTCCGCCCCCCTGCGACGCGGACGCTCGCAAGGGACGGAACCCGGAAGACAGCAGCGGCCGGAGGACACAGTGGGGATCGCGGACAAGGTCATATCTACGCTGTATTCCCGAGTGTGGCTCGGGGTTACAGCTTTGTTAACCCCGAGCCACACTCGGGAATACCAATGGATACACGCTGAAATCCGCCCCAAAGAAGCTCCCGTACTATTTTGGGCGTAGGGTGTTTTTCAGCGCATCAAAACGCGCTGAAATACGCCCAGGTGGGAACCATGCCCATAGGGATTCATAGGATTTCACCTCTTGAGCGTTTTTCAGCGCTTCGATCAGCGCTGAAAAACGCCCAGGTGTGAACCCAGCCTCAGTGGTTTTGGGCACAGTACAGTGTTCATCGTTATACTGGATCTTCTACATGGAGATCTAGGGAGGCTATTGATCTACATGGAGGCTATATTTAGTATCTCTCTGAAGCCCTGTAAATGTAGCAGCTTATTCAAGCAACATAAAATGCACTAAACTGTAGTAACCAATCAGAAATGATCTTTCCCTGGCTGAACTGCTGTAATTTGTACTCTGGTGCCTGCACATTATTATTGCCTTTTGTGTCTTGTCAAGTATGCAGACTGCAGTGCACCTGTTCTGTCATTGCTGTCATTCGGAGACTTGGTCGCCTGCATTTGCTGAGTAGTTCCAGAGAGCTAATGAAATCGAATAACCTAAGCAGGGGAATATGCAATGAAATACTGAGACGCATAGAAGATACAGACAGCGTTTTATCTTACTGGATGAATCTTCCATAGTTTTATAGTGACAATGTATTACACAATGTTTCACAAAATAGACAGAACCATCTATATCATTCTCTGACTTGGAGGAAAATCTAATGCCCCCACAACACTCATTACACAGGGGTCATGAACTCCAGACAAATGCCAAAATACAAAGCTAAAATATATATATAGGACCGTATCTGCCTTGATGAGTCAGATGAGTTTGGTTTTATAAATATTCTTTTGGAGGCTTGGTCAGTAAAAAAATGCTAGGGCGCCCAGGTTCATATATCGTCGCTTCTAAGCAGATGTCATGGGTGACCGATTTCTCCTGGCCTGTGCAAGAAGAATAGATGGCTGCGGGGACGGAAAGTGTCATTTTCCGCTATGGATTTGTGACAGGTACATTTTAATGACCTATCGCTCTTTATCACAGTACACTGGTAACACTCGATATAGTTGTTCTAATGGAATGTATTGACTGATTTGAAACACAACCACAAGTCACAGTGGAGCAGTCTTCAGACATATGGAACTCATGTGGTCTTCATTACATTGCTTGTGTCAAGCACAGAACATTTGCCAGTAATGTCATATATTGCATGAAAACAAATACAGCATTTCAGGGCTGTATGCTGAGTGATTTGACCTCAACTCGCTAACTTGTTGCATATGGTGGGGGTATGGATAAAATTGCCTCGGCTGCTGTATTCCTTTTTATAGTTTTGTTTTCTAACAATCATACATTCCAGTGTAACACTTTGTTTTGGACAGTATGGTGGTTAAATTAGCGCTGTGGACTTGCAGCCCACATGTCCTGGGATCTGTTCCTTATGTTCTGCCTACGTTTTGTATGGTTTCCTTCCAGGTGCTCCAGTTTCCTCCTTGAAGGGTCATGTTTTGAGCTCTTATTCCTCCATATCCTTGTGGGCAATAAGAGTTCATATTTTCCCTCTGTTGGAAGTGGCAGTGTAGCTTTTTGCTCCAACCACAGTGCAATATGCAGGAGGGGAGGGTTTTGGCAGTCTGGCTCAGGCCAATTTCGAGTATCGAGTAAGATTTATTTATTTTTTTGGTACTCACTGATACCAAGTACTTATATCAGTGCCATGTGCCCCGATTTATGATTTATCAGGAAGCCGGGTGGCGGATCATGACCAGTCGCCCGGCTTCCTGATTGGTCAGGAAGCCAGCTTCACGAGTTGGTAGGCAGCCTGGCTTCCTAACCAATCAGAAAGTCAGGCAGCACGTCATGACCCACCTCCCGGCTTCCTGATTGGCTAGAAAGCTGGCTTCACTTGTTGCGTGGCTTCCTTACCAATCAGGAAACCAGGAGGAGAGGCATGATGTGCCGCCTGGCTTCCTGATTGGTCAGGAAGCCAGGCTGCCTACTAACAAGTGAAGCTGGCTTTCTAGCCAATCAGGAAGCCTGGTAGCACGTCATGACACGGCTCCTGATTGGCTAGGAAGCAGGCTTTGCTTGGCAGCGTGGCTTCCTGACTAATCAGGAAACCGGGAGGCAAGGCATGGCATGCCGCCCGGCTTCCTGATTGGCTAGGAAGCCAGCTTCACTTGTTTGGTCAGGAAGCCAGGAGGCAGGTCATTATGTGGCGCCTGGCTTCCTGATTGGTTAGGCTGCCTAGCAACAAGTGAAGCTGGCTTCCTAGTCAATCAGGAAGCCGGCTCCCTCGCTACTGCCGGTCAGAGGGAGGTCTCCCTCTAACTAGAAGTTTCGGTATCATAGGTAAGTATCGGAGCATTGGGACAAGTACTAGTTAAGAGCTAGAGATGCACTGATACTGGTATCTGTTCCGATATTGAGCATTTTCACGAGTTTCTGGTACTTGTGAAAATGCTCCAATACTAGGTGCTAATACCGACGCTTTACATTTTTAAACAGAACCTGGCACTGTAAACAGGTGCTTCCGTTCACAAGAAGGTAGCTGAAGTCCCCAGCAGCCTTCCTGTGAACCGTGATGCTGGTTTACAGCAAGAGCCAAAAACCCCCTTCTGTATAGCCCGCACCCTGCCGAGACTGACCGGGACCCTTTGTTAGATCCTGCACAGCCCACCATAGACCCTGCGCAGCGTCCTGAGACCCTGCACAGCCCACCAAAGACACCGAACAGACACCTGAGATACTCCGCTGGAGACAACAGGCCAGCAATACAGAGCAGCTCAGAGTATGTAGTTTCATATTATTCTGCATTGATGTATAATGTATTGCTGGGATTTGTAGTCATCTATAGCTGGTTGCCATTCGGCATTGTTGTTTAATGCATTGCTGGGATTTGTAGTCCTCCTACATCTTGGAGTCAGTGGCAGAACTACCAGGGGCACAGCGTTTGCAGCTGGGACTGGGCCCTGGCACTTCACCACTTTCCTAAAATCATTAGTCTGTATTGTTTTAGAAAAAATGTTACATGATACAAAAAAAAAATATCGGTAATTGGTATTGGCAAATACTTGAGGAAAAGTATCGGCACGCGTACTCGGTCTGGAAAAATTGTATTGGCGCATCCCTATTAAGAACTATTGTTGAGGCGTCTCTGTTCTAGGTGTACATTAGAACTTCAATGAATGACATTAGACACGCCATTTATGTGTCTGTGGTATAGTGTGTGATTATGAGAAAGTCTGTTGGCACAGTTGGCTTTTAAAAATCTAGCCTTGATAGGCTTGAAAGACCAAATAAGTCTTTTTTTTTAGTTTTGGGTAGGGAAAGAGTAAAGCTAGCCATACAATGATGTACTTTTAAGTTTCCTGCTGAATTAGCCAAAAGGTGATCTATGGGTAGCCCTGTCACCACCACCCACCTCAACAAAATAGTTTTTTTCAGTCGAAAGGAGCCGAGTAGAAAACTGTTGGCCAAATAGTGACTGGGCATCATTCCACACACTATTTAGCTTTTTCTAAAAAAAATAAAGAAGGTTTAGAAACCTGTGAGGTGTTTTTGTTTTTGTTGTCTGTACCAATATTTCCTGTCCAGGTGATGGGTTTCAGAAAAGGCAGTGAGGGAACATTTCTACACATAGCTGTTCTAAAACCTCTACAAGCTTTTAGTGTCGCCTATAGACAGTACCATAGTTTTTTGCCGTTTCACGGGCACACACACGATTTTCAAGCTTGGTATCTAGGTATTTAGCACAACCTCCTCCTCTTTTATATTGGGTATTACATTGTGTTTTTGAGCAGCACAATTTAACTTGAGTGTATTTTTACTGAAATTTTGGGTTTAACAAACAGTTGCACTAATATTATGCAATAAAGTTTGCAACTGTCACCATTTTATTCTGCAGGGTCTCTGCTTTCAGCAAATATATTATTCTGGGGGGTTTAAATCTCAGGCCTAAAATTTTGCATTTTAATGTGTGCAAAAAACACAAACCGCTCTGCTAGTGAAAAGGTTAAAGAAGACCCTAGTGGAATATGTAACCTAACTGACAAACATATAGAGCGTTTAGTATATTAATATATCCCATACTGGGAATTGCTTAATGTGTCTTTCCATGTGGACCGTTGACAATATCGTGAATACTTGATGAAGGAATCTGGTATTGCAATACACTGTTTTTTTGTTTTTGTTTTTTTTGTTTTTGTTTTTTTTATTCTTTAGTAATTGGCCATTCAATAAAGTAAACATGTGTTTGGCAGCGCAAAGCAACAGGCTCACTTTGGTGGTGGCCCCACCATCTGCATGTGCTTACCGTTTCTTCACTCCTCCAGCATTTTGTTTTAGCTCGGGGAGCGGAGAGTAAGCCCTCTATAACCTACAAGTAGCAACTTGGGTTACATAGGGCTTAAGACTCTCTGCCCCCGTTGAAAGTGCTTGGTTCCAGAGTGCAAAATTGACAAGTACCAGCATGGTCATGTGTAAGGAAAGGAAGTGAGTCGCCTGCTCCCCCATACCCCAGCAGCATTTCTCTTGCTCCTGGCAGCTAAACAAAGCAGCAGGAGAGTGAAGGAATGCTAAGAATATGCTGATGATGGGGCTGCTATTAAAGTGAACCTGTCTCTTTGCCCTGAAGGTTCACTTTAAAGCACTAGTTCTCAGTTTGTTTGTTTTTTGCTTTTCTGGCATGATATTCTAATCTGTTTTTGTGTTTTTGTTTTTTGCAGCTGAAATACCTGATGACTATCCAGATCAGGTTGATGACGTGTTGGAGTTCATTCAAGACACCATAAAAAGACTTCGGAGGTCATCCAACAAGCAATCTCTCTCCCGGCGAGACAGAGGGAGACACATTGTTGCAGCAGAGACTCAAAGTTCCAGTAAAAGAGCAGGCAAAGATAAAAAGCGTAAAAACAAAGGCTGCGTCCTACGGGAAATCCACTTGAACGTGACAGACTTGGGTTTGGGCTACGAAGCCAGGGAGGAACTAAAATTTCGATACTGCAGTGGCTCCTGCAGTAACCCAGAGACAACGTATGACCAAATTCTCAAAAATTTGACTATCAAGAAAAAGTTGGTTAATGATAAGGTGAAGCAAGCATGTTGCAGGCCAATTGCATTCGATGATGATGTCTCCTTCCTGGATGACAATCTAGTTTACCACACTTTGAAACAACATTCCGCCAAGAAATGTGGATGCGTTTGATTTTCATTTTGCTGAGGGCCGCTAAGGCAGTGTGTGTCACATTCCTGATGTAACACAAAGGAAGGGATCAAGGATCAAGATTCCCTTTGCGGTATCCTGAGTTTAAGAATGGAGAAGAGGACCAAGGAGAGCTGGGCATGGCGCCATCCTGGCGACCCCGCTAAGGGATTTGTCCTGCAAGTGTAAGAATTCAAAGTGGCTCTGGGAGAAAAATGGCAATCGTGGCGCCCAGACATGCGCTCTTGTAGGAGGATTGTGTTTTCACCATTATATATATGACTCACCAGCAGTGTTGACTGGAAAGGTCAATAACCAGCTTTTAAACACAGGCATTTATACATCGTGCATGTCAGATTTTGTTCCTGTATATTTTTTTTTGTACAACAAAACAAGTGTATTACATACTTCATTAGCTCTGTATTTTGGGGTTGAATTAAAATATTTGCTAACATAGTACATGTTAATTCAGTTCACGTTACGTCCATTGACATCTTTATTATACCAGAACTTTAAGTAATACAGTCTTCAGAAAACTGTAAACCATAAAAACTTCCAATTTATAGCCATGTGAGTTAATTTGTAGTTTTAGCCTCAGACTGGCAGGCAAGGGGACACATGGATCTCAAGCTCTCTTTTACTTATTTCAAAAATTCAGGGTATTCTGTAACCCAGAGCAAGCATTGAAACCTATTGGATTTTGTTTTAGGCTAGAGTCATTTATCACTTTTGATTAAAGGGCAAATTCAAGTTAATTTACCAAGACAAATGGGGCACTGCATAAATTGCCACTTGCTCCTACATCCTGTAAAATACCACTTGAAACACTTGATGAAATAGACCTCCAATTCATTCAGTCTGCATATTGAACTTCCTGGGTGTGATAGAGCTCCCTATAGACATCTGAGACTGAATCTGTAATAAGAGACTATCAAATTCACACTCTGTAGGTCTTGGTAGCCTTCTTGGACAAGGGTTTTCATGCAGAGCATTAGAGGATCATAGACACCATCTTATATTGGTTGATCGGTAGGGGATTAGCCTTAGAAAGCATAATTGTAAGGGGTTTTTCTCCCATCAACTGCAGAATTCTCCTTGCAATCAAGTTATCTCTTAAAGTAGGTTATTCTTGATGAAAATGCCCTATGGTGCTGTTGACAGAAGTACTGTTTTGTCACTAGCGGCTTTAATCGCTTGGACATCACCGTGCTGTCAACGAAGACTCAACACCACAATTAAAAAAGGCATAATTAGTACACCATGCCACAGTTGTCAGGGGATGAGTTGGACTTGTTTTATGTGAAAAATAATTAGATTGAATATTATGTTCATGGCAAAGGTTTGTCAAAAAACTCCCCTCCGCTACATACATTGCACAGATTTTTATATTGTAGTAGATCCCTAACTTATTCTGTTCTGTAGCTATGGAGATAAACCATTCCAATGTTTGCTTAAAGAGAACTATGGGATAAGTGTTTTTCCACATAGTTCTCTTAAGGGTCACGGGAGGACATATACTGGCGTCCTCCTGTGACCCAAAGCTCAGTATATAATGAGAGTGCCGCAGCCGGGACAGATCACGACAATGCTGTCAAGATCCACCCAGCAGAGTGAGTGACAGCTGGCTCTGCCCATTTAGAGGCAGAGCCAGCTGTACCCGCCCCCCTCCCCCGTCCGTTTCTGCAGTCAGCGCTGGAAGATTGGAGTGGGGAGGGGGGAAACTAGCATTCAATTAAAAGTCACAACTCCTGATCTGTCTACTTGTTCTGGGTCAGCAACTCAAACTATTTAATTGGGGTTGATTTACTGAAGTAGAGTTGGGTAATAAGGTGAAGCTGCATTCACTTTACTTGTCCTTTTTTTATTTCCCTTTCCCTATTATTGGTAGTTCCACCACATTCACTTTGCTAAGAGAACATTCTACTTTAATCAACCCTATAGGATTGTCAGGTCAGTCAACTAGCATATCCAAGAGAGGCCCGTAAAGGCAGCCTACATACTAAAGTCACCTTGTTGCTGAGCAGATAATTTAATAAGAAACCTATACCTAATTAACTCACTTATGGCCTAGAAAGGCTGTTCATATTTATGGTCTGTTCTTTGAGGGCTGTTTTCAAACATCTATGTATCAACCACTCAACACAGATTATATAGATTTATATTTCGGGTTTACAGAAGATTTGTCTTTTTTGTTTTTCTTTGACAGTACATTAGTAATTGGTCGCTGAGGCCGAACGGACTACTTGATGCCATGCATCCTCACAGATACATGAATATATAAGAAATATTTATTGAGAATTAAGTTATTGATATTTATTACAGTCCAGTTATGAATGTTTCCTGTTTTTTCCCTATTTATTGCATTTTCTCTTCTTTGATGGTGCCAAAGCGAAGCATGCTCTCAAGGGTCACATGAGACAGATGCAAGCAAATCTTAGAATCACATTCTTTACCCTTTTTACAGGTGGCGCATAAAAGTGGTTGGTGGCAATCTATTCTTGTAAATGGCATAGTTGATTTTGTTAAAAAATGCTTTATAATAAATATTTTTACTACCCGATTGTAAGAGTTAGAGGCCAGGCAGAGGTTAAAATCCCACAAAATGTGTCAACGCACCAGCCAATCTGTCCGTCCAACTTGGGTAAAACTACGGTTTTCCCTGTTTACTATTTGGTTTGGTTTTCAACTGCTAGCCTAGGTCCCATTGAAGGAAACAGAGAAACATGTAGGGTGCCATTGCTGTTTGTTTTTGGGTTTTTAAAAAAAACCAAAACATTTTTTAGAATGCTAGCTGCTTGGTTGTCATGAATATCCTCTGTCTTCATTATTTGAGTCCCTAACCCAGAAAAGGCATGCATGGAGCTCTGACTGTACTCTTCTTTTCCTGATCTGCATGCATGTTCTGAATCGGTGAATCAAAATATAAAGGCAGAGAATCAGCAAAACAGCCAAGGCATTGAGAAGCTCAGCAATGGCAGCCTTTGTATTTTTCTGACTGGTTTTGTTTTAATAGCAAAATGCAATTGTTGAAACAGCTGTAGAGTTCAACGATAAAGAAGCTGCAAGGAAAACTGTTGGACTTTTTTTTTTTATATATATTTTTATGCATTTTGAGTGTACTGGGTAGAGTTTCATTAAAAGTATATGATCGGCAATTCAAAGATGTACCACCCGGCAGTCCCAATGCTTGGGACTATTTTAATCCTTTTAATTTTTAAAAGGAGTTTGGTGTTGTCTGTCTAAACCTGTTAACACTGGGCTTGAGGTTGTTCAGGGATTAACACTACAATTACAAAGTTTCGGCATTAGCAAATGTTACCGTGAAGCTTTTTTCTTTCATCCATTGTATGTATTGATAGTTCTCTCTGCTCCAGATGTGTTTGTGAAATGTGCTCATAGGTCCTATATTTTCTTGAAGAACAAACTTAATTGCAGTGAGAATAGATTAGCCAATCAAATTCTAGCTGTTCTTCCTCCTATTTAATGGTGGTTTTTCACTTGCATGATGCTACTGCCACTTTGAATTGCATCCTTTTTGGACTTGCGTCAAACATCTGTTCTGGTACTGAAAAGTATAAAAGGTTACCAAATGTTTTCCCTTAGAATTTCCTAGCTCTATAGATGTTTTGCAATAACTCAGCCGTTTTATTTTTCTGTTTATTAGACTCTGCATTTTTCCTGTTTTTAAGAAAGCCTTTGCTGATGTACCATTTGGCTGGTTGGTGTTCAACTGTTTCATCTCAGTTCCACCATCCGCAGTCATTAAATAATTCTTCACCCTGATCTGCTCTGCGGCCATCCGTAAGAGGTGACCGAACTAATGTTCCAAACAGTTCTCCAAAATTGTTTCAATTTGCTTTTCTGTTTTTAGGATTTTGAACCAAAAGCCCATAGAGAGTTTAAAGGTGATGAGTGGGGAATTGGTTTGGATAAGTGATATTTTATTACTGTCATATCTACGTAAAATACATAGATATGACCCATTTCCTTTTATTACCCACTTCACCTTACAGAAACGCATGTAAGTAATGGGGTTCTAAAATGTTTGACCTTGTGTTTGAACATGTGTGCACTGCCCTATTAACAATGGGTTTTAATAGAAGTGTTTTAGATTTACACAAGGGTTACATTCTTCCAACTGTAAACAAAGTTAATTTGACTTAAGCTGGACAGTGCAACAGTAAAAGTGAGATATTTGGGTAACTTTGATGGGCAGTCCTTGGATGACAACTGCCATTGTAGGTAACAGGAAGCACCAAAGTGACTGTTAGTAGTTTTGATGGATTACTGGCCAGGATGTCAATCGGTTTCATACCATATTTTAAAGGGAAGGTATAATGCTTTTCAGCCAATGTTTTTTGCAAGTTGAAAAATGAACGTTTTCTAGAATTTATTTATATAGAATCTTCACCAAAAAAATAATCTGATTTCAGGTTCCATTCATGAACATTTGAACACACCGCTAGGCTTTCTAGATGGAAAGCCTAGCACTGCCTGCATGCTTGTAGGCAGCTTGTTTGTAGCTGGCTTTGCCAGAAGGTCATGTGATCTTTCTCCAAGTCATTTAGCAGGTTGTGTGGTCTGACCTTTCCTGTTGCCTAGTTCAATTTTACAGCGGAGATGTAGAATAAGTTTGTGCAAGCTGTTGATTAGGAAGTTTATCACCAGCTTACTATTTCATATTTACCTGATTAAATAAAGTTTTGATTGTGTATATAAAAAACACTATACATTCCCTTTAAAGTTTTAGGAGAGATAAACAACAGTGAAGGGAATTTATCAAAACTGGAGCAGACAAAATCTGGAGCGGCTGTGCCTGGCAACCAATCAGCTGCTCTCATTTTTAAATCATAACTGAACAAACTGAAGAGAGAAGCTGATTGTTTGGCTGCTCCAGATTGTCTGCTCCAGTTTTGATAAATTCCCTCCAATATGTTTAAATATTCAATGAAGGTTGTTATTGAAACTGTTTTTTATTGAGTGGCCTTTTAAACATTGTCTGT